GGCAGAGAACCTTCCTCCTTTTGCTTCCTCCTGAAGTAGGTAGAGAACCTAGATCACTTGCTGAAACTTACCTCTCCCAACCCCTTCCAAGGATAAGAGACAATAGGGAGAAGAAGTGGATCAATGCTTGGAGCAACCCTTGTGAATCCCCTCACAAGCACCCCCTCACAAGATCCTCTCTCTCTCTCTCCCTCTCTCTCTCTCCTTTAGGTTTTCTCAGGTCAAGACAGCAGCCAAGGATGTTCAAAAATGTTGAATAAGTGCTCTTAAATAAAAAAGCTTCAAAGGAGCTAATTAATTACAAGTTTCCGACTATATCGTCCAGGATGATATGGACATCATCCTGGCCGATTAGTACAAATCTCAGAAGATCAGCCAGAGCATCGCCCTGAATACAAACTGGACGATTGGAAAATTGTCTTGATCATCCAGGATGATCTCGCGATCGTCCCGGCCAATCAGTTCAAATTAGAGGAAAATCGTCCAGAGCATGGCCCTGAATTCAAGCCGTCCGATCCAGATCGTCCAGGAGTAACTAAGGTTTTTTGAATAGATCATCCAGGCCGATCCTGCGATCGTCCAGGACGATGTGATCATATCAATCATCCTTAATTTTTGCCTTGATTGTTGGATCAATTAAGGCATAATTGTGAATATCGTCCAGGCCGATCCAAGATCGTCCTGACTAATTACCAAAAATATAGAATATCTTAATTATTTATGGAGGTAATTTCTTTCTATTTTGAGCCTATCGTCCAGGCCGATACAAGTATCATCCAGGCTGATTGGCTAATGACGGCTGCCTTAATTAAGAACCCCTGATTAGATTTTTTGTTTTAAGCCTGATCGTCCAGGATGATGTAAATATCGTCGTGGCCGATTTGAGTAAAAACAGAAATTCTAAGTCTCTCAAGTGTGTGTGTGTAGGGTTACTTTGCATCAGTCACACAAAGATTTCAATCGACTCAAGAAGGAAAAAATAAAATTACAGACTGACTCAACCCTAATCTACCAATCTTGAGCTGATTCTGATTTCCGTCCGATCTTTGAGTCCTGAAAAGTCAGTAGAAAAAGGCAGTCGTAGTGAAACAAAATTTGTTTGCTATCATCAAAATCATAATCTAAAAACATGTTTGTAACATAAACCAAACTAATTAGCTTAATCAACGATGATTACTATTGGGTAACTCAAGCCTACGAAGCTATTAATTTAGCCCTAAGAATGATGAAATAAATTTCACAGCCTCGGTGAACAGTAAAGTAACTAATCATTTAACAATTAAAATATACTTCAATTAAGCTTTAATACATTATTATTTAAACTCTAATAAAATTTCTTCCTTTGACCTTTAACAAACTCAAACACTAGATAACTTCAACAATTCACCCATCTTAAGATCTACCCCAGCCATATAGCCTTTAGCACACACTTTAGATGACTTTCTAGAATAATCAACTCTGGTCGAGACTAGGTCAGTGTTAAATTTATTATTGTATACCAGATTTTCTTAGGTTTTCATTGCATGCTATGATTGAAATTAATTGGTATGAGTGTTTACATACTTTTATTGCACTCTATAAATTGATGTGATGGGTAATAGTCTATCCTTAGGTTAGGACTGATCTGGTTGCTCACTAAGTTATTTATAGGTGGCCATGCTCGTGCAGGGTAATAAAAAGGTGGCTAAATTAATAATAATCATAATTGTTATAGGTGCTTCAGCCGATTAGCCCCCAAATGAATAAGAGCATGGCCAAGTGTACTTTTTATTATTACACATAAATAAATTTCTTAGGAGTGATTTCATTTTAAATGCTTTGGATAATCTTGCAGGAGAGTCTAGATTTTTCTTTTTAATACTAATATATTTTGTTTAAAGTTAAGAGTTATGAAAGTTAAACATTTGAGTTGGGATACAAGTATCAAAAGTCGGATTCCAAAAAGGAAAGGACATCCCTCAGAGGAGTATCCTTCTCTAATTGGAAGCCCAAATTTTGATCATTTCACTACCCATATTGAAAAAAATAACTTACCCTTATGGGGAAGAATTTTTTTTTTCACTTGGATATTACGATACACTGAATCCAAAGAGTCCGAAGAGGAGAATGACAAAGACTTGAAGGTAGAGGGTATCCCACTCAAAGTTACTTGCGTCAATCCTAGGATTAGAATCTAAGTTTATGGATAGTGGTGCTAGACTATTTTTAATTTCTATAATTTTTGGGTTGTAATAAATAGACAGTTTGCCTATAGACATTTATTTAATTAATTTGATTATTAATGTATTTGATTTGATATGATTGAGTGTAAGGTTGCCTTTTTTTGGTGATTTGCATGTCATTTTTGTTTAAGCCTAGATTCGATCAGAGGCTCGAGAGGGCACATATAAAAATTTTCTATTTAAAATTAAAATTATAATTTTTAGGCTAACATAGAAATAATAATGATCTAAGAAGTAAGCTCAGGAGTGCTGTGAGTCTACATAATCATATTAGTTGCTTCTCCTCTTTATTAGGCACCTCCACGCTTGTGGGTTATGGCAAACCACTTTGCCTTTTAGGGTGCAAATCTGTCAAGGGGATTTTATGCAATCTTAAGGGAAAAATATTTTTAAGCATATTTTAAAATCAACTACATATTCATTTTATGCATTTAATCAAGTCAACCAACTTGCATTGCATTAGAAATCAATTTAAAAATGAGCTTAAAATTTTAATTACATTTGGTTTAAAAATTCTCACCAAATATAAGTCAAGGAGCCAATTAGTATCCACTCTAGATGTCGGTCCCAATTCTTAAAAACATTAATAATAATATACCTACCACTTTTTCATATTGATCAAATTTATTAATTTTAAATTGATTAGGTGATTAGCTAGCTCCCCAATCAAAGTCAGGATAAAGTCCATATTTTATATTGCATTAGTTAGGTTTGAGCTACTATGGTCTAGTGCCCAAATTAGATTTAGGATTTGGGATAGATTTATAATTATAAGACCCCAACCTTCTAGAATATAATCCCAAATTTCTAATAAATTATTCAACTAAAAAAGATTCTTTCAATTTAAAATTTAAAGCCCAACACTTAGATTAGGTTAGGACGCCTCTAGACTATTTCATAATCTTAAAGTGTCTTTTACCTATCCTCTATTGACTCCTAAAATAAGTGCTCTAATTTGATCAAGTCCTTATTGAAATTCCAAAATTCACCTCCTTTAGTATCACTACTAAAAATTTTTTGAATAGGATTTATGCCATTAATTTAATCAAGAGTTTTTGTATGGAATTTAGCCTCCCTACAATGTAACTAACTATGAGGGCTTGCACTCATTAGAGATTTTTGACCTATATATACTTTTCAAAATCAATTTTTTAAAACTCAATTAATCTTATTTAAGAAAATAAAAAATAATGATGATCGTTATCACCATGTTCGAACAACTGGTAATGAAAGATATTTTCTTCCTTTGGGATGATTTATCATTTGTTGACAAAATTTTGAATATGAGATTAATGATAATTCTTCTAGATTATCATATCTAGATATTCGACCAAACTTCACTCTTGCACTTTGGCATCACATGTTGTTCTTTCTTAAACCTGGCTTGATATTCAAGTTGGAATTTGCAATTCTAAATCTGGACCACATTTTAAAATCATATTTCTACCTCTCGAGGACATATATATTTTCTGATGGGTTATTCAATTTTAAAGTTAAAATTTAATGTCAATTTTAGATTCCCCAAATAAAACTAAACCTTTTGAAAACCACTTTGCAACCTAAACATATTTAAGATAGTAGTGTCAAGGCATTCGATAAGAGAAAATAATGCTATAGTGTTTAATGCTAAAGAGCTATAATGGTGTAATGTAATAAATTTTCTTGAGGCTTCAAAATTGCAATATTATTTTTTATTTTCGTGGCACTTGGATCACGAATGCTGTAGTGCTTTAGATACTAATGTTTTGGTGCTAGTTTAATTTTTAGCACATCAAATTTTTCTTAGAAAATATTTCATAACATTGTTTAAATCAATATTAATATTTTTTATAAATAATACAACACACACACACATATAACCTAACATAAAAATAATAATTATTATAAAAAAGAGTATACAAATAAAGAATAGAATTGGGTTGCCAACTAATACAATGCTAAATTATTAATCATTAGCCAAACTTTCATGGATTTATCATTTTAGCGATAAAGAATCACCACTACTTCTCAAGTGGTGTTTACTATACTATTTTTCTTTTTTTCATTTGGATTAGTTTTAGTATTATTAATTGAAATTTTATGAGTTTTACTACTAAAGAAATTACAAACTGACCTAATTAATTTTCTATGTTTTTTTTTATGGAAGCATCCTTACTTTGTAACTGGGTTCCTAAATTACAATCACTTCCAAAGGTTATTTCCTCTCTATAAACTGACTATTTTGGTTAAAACTAGAGGGATATGAAGGTTTAGGATTTACTATAGGTTACTGAGGAAGTTCTAATTCTTTCTTGATTAGACTGAATTACGTTCAACTTATTGTTACCAAAAATTTTGTTATTTTACTAACAAACATTAGGGTGGTTCCTCTAAACTAAATTATAAGTATTACAATAGGTTTGTATTATCTTCCAATAAAATTTATGTTCTCAATCCCTTATATATATATTTTTTACCCACTGAATTTAAATCATGCACTTATAATTACATAAATGAACCTGATCCTAAATTAACTCCAATAAGGTCTAACTTTTAGAAATTGCAACTACTTGTGTAGTCAAAATAGATATTGAATCTAATTCATACACACTAGATACTCTCTTAGGTTTCACCATACTAGAAGGTCAATGAAACTTATTTATAGTGATTTGCTTAATTAGTTTATATACTTCCTCATATAACTTAGACATTAAAGATCCTCTAGCTATTGTATCTATGATTGACCTAAGGGATTGTACCAATCTATTATAAAAAGTCTGAATATTCAACCAATCATATACATCATGATGAGGGAATTTCCTAAGCATTTTATTAAATCTCTCTCAACTTTCATAAATTAATTCTTGCTCAAGCTGGGCAAAAGATGTGATATCATTTCTAAGTTTGATAAATTTTAAAGGTGAAAAATACTTAGTAATGAATTGATGTGCAAACACATTCCAAGTGGTTATAGAGCTAGTGGGAAAATAATTCAACAAAACATTAGTTTTATCATTTATAGAAAATGGGATCAATTAATTCTAATAGCATCATTAGTAACACCTTTATATTTAAATATTATATAGATTTACAAGAAGATAGCTATCTGTAGGTTGGGAACCTCAACAAGAGTTCCCCAAATGAAGAATTTTGAACCATGTGAGTTAGGGAAAGTTTCAGTTCAAAGTTATTGGCATGGAAAATAGTTTTATTGATACACTATTGAATTACTTCTACTAAAGGGTTAGCAGACTCTCTAAGAGGTCTAGAATGGTTTTAATCTTGTAGAGGTTTAGACATCTCTAAAATCATTTTTTTTTAAATTTTTGTAAGGGTCATTTCTATCTCAGAATAAAAAAAATAAATCCTTACTATATCAATTAAACATTCAATAATACTAAAAAAAAATATAAAGATCACAAATTATACAATCAATAAAAGACTTTTTTTTTCTTTTTAAAAAATTTTTAATAAACACATCAAAAAATAAAGATATAGGATACATGTAAGTCTAAATATGCATTTTTTTAATAATAGTTTAAAATTACAGTACATGCATTACTTATCGATAACCATGCCAAAAACTTAATAGAAGCTAGGCATAAGCTACAAATTGGTTTGTGTTGGACTTGATCTACACAGTAAAAATATACTTAAGCTTCCATTTTATAAACAAAAATAATAAAATCCCACTAAATAAAAATGTATATTAGTTGAATCAAGTAATAAAGTGATAGATAGGAATGTAAATCCAATGAGGAAGTATTCTAGTTAATTGTAATTAAATTATTACTATTTGATCTAAATGTATTATTTATCCTAGTGAATGTAAAAGGCTTGTTTATTAGTTCACCACTTAATGGAGTACTGGTAAGTAATTTTTATATTAATAATTTAATATTTGGACTAATAAATGTAAAAAAAGCATATTTTTCCTAAGGAGACTTTTTATTGAAGATGTGAATCAGAGCATATGTATCTCAAGATCTTTGTCATACTTGTAGGGGTGAAAAGGGAGGTTTATGGTCTTCCTATAATTATACTATCTCTATATAACTTGAAAGGATTGGCATCATATGTCTAGGTATGCAAATTTTTCATTTTAATACTCCTATTTATTATAATATTTCACTGTCAAGGAAATACATCTCACTAGATTTTAACTACACCCATGACCATTACATTATTTAAATGAAGAACATGAGATGTTGAAATATCCATGTAAGAAATTAAAGGTTAAGAATCTATATAAGTAAATTCTATATGTTTACATCATTAGCCCAAATCTTAAAAAAATAGCCAATTATGAATAATATAGAAAGAGAACTCATGATCATTCCATTCATATGAAAATGATACTGGAGAATGGATAAGATATCACCCAGAAGGATCAATTGATATTCTTCACATTCCTTCTTTCTCTAGCAACAGACTTGCTCACACAATACAAGCTAAGATATCTAAAATAAAAGTACATTTCTCTTCTTTAACCTCCCATACACTTTACTCTAAGGGGGAAATAAGAGGAAGAAATTATAAAATATAAGATTCCACTAAAATGATAGAATTCCCTAATTAAAAGAACTAAAAACTATTTATACAAGTGTAGGAATGGACTCAAGTACTATAGTCTCAACATGAATTTTCCAAGACAATATAATATGAACTAGTGCTTTAGTACTATAAGGCATGCCTTGTTGCAAAGATGGGCTATCCTGGTATGGTTAATGGTCAAATAGGCACATCTTTTTGTTGAGTCAGTGTGCCTCATCACTTCAGCATATACTTCATTTCGGTGCTATACAATTTGAGTGTTGGAGTGCTTGAATGTACAATTAGTGCTTTGGCATTTTGATGATTAGCTCTCTAGTATTGTGAAGATTAACACTCTAGTACTTAAATTCTTGAGACTCTAGTGATGCAGTGCTGAATTTTAGTGTAGCGATGTTATGATGAATTATAGTGCTTACCTTGGCTCCACTACGATGTTGATTTTCCCAAAATTTTAGAGCAGTCAACTCTATGATGTTTGAATTAGGCTTCAGGTTGCTGTAGAATCATATGCCGCGACATGGGAAGTGTGACCACTATGGTGATCGTTCTGGACTTTTGAATTTTTAATCTTTTCTAAGGGTCATTTCTATGCTCCAAGTTTATAAACAAAAGAAAATATTTTTTTATGTACTAAATTGTATACAATTTATTTTGAACAATTCTTTGATTGGTGGATTTGAATAATTAAAATTAGAATATATATACCTAGGCATATGTGGTATGCTTAAGTGGGAGAAGTATTCAAGAATTCAAGTGAACATAGCATAATATAACTTGTTTTCTATAAAGGTGCTTGGTTGGAATGAAATGCTTAAATATAGATTTGAACTCTTTTTAGAAAAAGTTATGTTATGTCTAGGATGAGGGCTCAAGGTAGGAGTTATCTACATGGATTTTTGAATATTTAAACAAACACAATTTATTTCAGTAGAAAGCTAAGTTTGAGACTTGAGCTAAGCTGGACATTTATAGGTACAACCTCAATATAAATTAAGGAAGAACTAGAAAATCATCAAAGCTTTATTGGATATTAACTAAAGAAATTGATTAAAATTTTATTATTTTTTACCAGAAAGTTTGATTGGATGAAAAGTGTGTAAGCTAAATAATATTGTAATGTTTGATCATAATGATCACATGATCTAGTTTTAGTAGGATTTGATAGTCTATGTCACCTAGGTCAAGGAAAAACCTAAATGATTTAGAATTGAATAGAAGAGTACCATACACTAGTTAGAGTTAGAACTACTCTAATATATTGAGATTTTATGTTATGAGTGTAAAAGGGTTGGACTTAGCCTAACATCTTCTTCTTTGTTCCCTATACTATTATGTTTATCCCTTCATAGGCTCCATTAGGTGGGCATCTATATGAGCTTACATAGTAGAAATTTATGTGTCCCTACTCCATCATTTTTAATTGATCAAGTACTCATAAAATTAATCTTAACTTATAATTTTATTATAGAAGTCTTACTCTATTAGAAACTATGTTCTACTTAAAACTTTATGTTTAGTATTCTACCCTATTGACACTTAGCATGCCTTTAAGCTATATCTCCAGAAAACCATTATCAAGTATAAGAACCTTATCTTTACCAAGCTTTTTGGCTTTGGGTTAACAAAATCTATAGTAGGTAACCAAAAACATAATATGAATTTGATAGGATTTTAAATGGTCTATAAAAATTCATTGACATTTTATTAAAGGCCATTAAATTAACCTCATGACTTTTACCCTTTCTCTAACAAATTAAAGCATATTTAAGTATTCAAGTGGCTTTAAAATAGACTTCTAGGTCTCAAGATACTTATAGGATTAAATCACTAGCTCTCTAATAAAGTTAAAATTTCTTATGTCACCTTTCCTTAGGTTTAGAATGAAGCCCTTCCATCGGTTGCATCAAACTTTACTAATATTGAATTTATAGACCAATTTTTCGTCTTAGCTATAGCTTAGCTCATTTCAAGCCAAACCCTGGCTAGGCATAAGTCCCTTTAGTATATATGAACATTTTTAAATCACATTAGAACCTTCTATAATTCTTTTTATATCCAACCTTAGGCTTATTAATTTAGATCCAAACTTGAGAAATTCAAAACCCTAATTACCCTATCTATTATCTAATTAACTTAGGATATAATCGCCAATGTTGTTAACAAATCTATTAATTACTTCACCTAGCCTGAATTAGTTAGTTCACCAAATTATACCTGAGGCTAGTTGGGTTAAACCCAAAATAGGTATAAGAAAATATTGCCTACTTATATGACTTAGTAAGGGTTTAATCGACCTAATGTATGGGTCAATTGATCAAACCCTAAGTTCACAAGATGTCTTTGGCCCTCACAAGAGAATTCAGATAACTGAAGATTGCCCATGACCCTTAGACCAAAACCTAATGTGTTATGAACCTTTGGATAAAACCTAAGCCTACAACATCAAATTATATACATTTAATTTTCAATTAATTTATATCATAAGTCAATTCAAGTTAAATATTACTCTAGGAAACCCATGCCATTTATTTGCATTAAATCCTAAACTAGCTAGGGTCAGTTACACCACATTTGTCCTGAATAAAATCTTAGTTGCCCATAAGACCAATATGACCATTTTAGAGGGCCTTGAGTCAATTTCATCGCCCTAAGCACAAATCAATATGCACTTCAACCTACTTAGACCTAAAATTTATAGAAGCTAAACCATACTAGCTCAACTAAAATGGGTTGTCCAAGTTAACCCAACTTATTAATTGCAACAATAATAAGGAAATGTAACTACTTCATCCTTGCTCTATCCAAATTAGCTCAACAAATAGTCTCTTCTTGGATCCTATAATTAGTTCAAATCAAGCTCAAATCAATTTGTTGTAAGTGTCAAAGCAGAACAAGTACATGTGGTCCTCACCACATTTTCTCATTATTACATGCCTTCACAAGAAATTAAGTTTTATTAGGAGGCCTACTAGTCTTTAATCCCTATTAACTAAAAGACACATTGGTCATCTTCAAAGTGGGTATCAATTCAAGCCAAAGATGACCACAACTTTCCATAAAGCAATTCACCAATGAAATATCAAGGATCTTGCATATAAGACTTTCACCTGATCTTAAAATTTTTTTCCTATGGTTATGCCTCCATTCATGTGGCCTCTAAGGATGAGAAAATCAATGTCAAGATATCTTACACGATGGTGTTGGCATTTAAATAAATTGGTGTAGAGTAAAGGGAGGCCTTCAATGCAAAAACTTTTATCTCTTATAGAAAACCTTTTTGGGGATCACTTGATATATGAGATTAATAAATGTCAACTCCAGTGAACCCTATGTTTATTCTTGCTTTGTGAAA